TCATCTTTCCTACTTATAAGTTTGATAGGTATGATTTTTAAATATACGTATGAGTATAAGAACTTGAAGTTGTTCTACGCTACTCTTTTTATGTTTCATACTATACTACTTTATATATTACTCGTTCTACGCTACTCTTTTTATGTTTCATACTATACTACTTTATATATTACTCATATTATATTGATATTCATATTAGCTATAACACTCCATTATGATACGTACTTAAATTTGTTGATCATCTTCGTCATGACCATTTTGAATTCATTCAGCGTTTGGAGTATGATAAAAAAATTGATAAATAGAAAAAAAAAATATTTTATCCTGTTAAAATGTTTATTGAAAAAGCATTTGTTAAATATAACAAAATATGATAAAGCATTAAACGTCTATAAATAAAATGATATCAAAAGTTAGCAACTTACAAACTACAATATTTGGATATATAACAAAAAAAAATTTTTTTAAAGTTATATTAATTTTCATACTATGGAGCTTCATCATTATTTCCTTAAAACTAAGAGAACAAGAGCCCGCAGGATCGGTTAAGGTAAAGTATTTCTTATAATACCTTACAAGATAATATATTAAAAATTAACGGTTTCAAATATAGGAAATACATAATATTAATAAATCTATTGAGGTGAATACAATTAACGATAATAAAGTGAATACAATTAACGATAATAAAGTGAATACAACAAAAGAAGATACAGTTAAAGAAGATACAGTTAAAGAAGATACAGCCAAAGAAGATACAGTTAAAGGAGATACAGTTAAAGAAGATGCAGTTAAAGAAGATACAGTTAAAGAAGATACAGTTAAAGAAGATACAGTTAAAGAGGATACAATTAATTCATCTCTTGAAACACCACTAACAGAGGACGAAAAGATCAACATAAAATATTGTCAAGAGAAAACATGTAAATTCTTGTTTCCATACTATCATCGAGAACAAGAGACTCGCGCCAATATTCATGCTCGCCTTTACACACAATTAGCACGATCTCTAAATCGTACTTTAGTTCTATCAAACGTTGGAAATTCAAAAATTCTAGCGTGTGCTCTACACCCATTTGATTTCTATTATGATCTAAAAGCATTCCAAAAACAGTATCCTGACATTCGATTTATAACTCAAAATGAATTTTTTAAATGGACAAAAGAAAGAAAAATCCGACCAATTGCGCAACATTCACGGATGATTCACGACAATAGAAAAAATGATGATTTAGTCGTTCATAAACAAAAGACTACGGGTGTCATTGAAGGTGGTAAACTCGGAAGAAAACAAGCAAAATCTTTTTGTTTAGATAGATTTAATCTAAACATCACGAATTATAAAGAATTTCATACAGGGATTAGAAAGTTCGATCGCGAAGCAATGTTAAAATTTGTTACAAATACTCTAAATTCTTTAGAGCATGAAGCAATAATGGTATTAAATACGTCTCCTCGAGAATTGTTTCCGAACATCAGTAAAGTAATTCCATATTCACCATCTATTATTAAAGAATCTAAAAAGATCATAAAGAAATTAAACCCTTATATAGCTGTTCATTGGAGAATGGAGGTTGGAGTACCAGAATTAATGCCAAAATGTGCCAATAAACTAGTTGAAACATTAAAAAAAGTTCAAAAAAAATATGGAATAACAAATGTATATTTGGCAACAGATTATCCACTTAATGGTAATCCTCAATCACAAACTTTTCATAATATTTCTTACTTTCATAAAGAAGCTATTGAGATACTTGGATTAAATGTAAATAGTTCCAAACATATAAAATTCGATACATGGATGTCGATGGACGCGTTCTCACAAATTAGAGACGACCCAAAGTACAAATCAGAATTTAAAAGTGCTGGTATACAAGGAATACTTGATAAATTAGTTTGCATGCAGGCAAAATATTTCTTAAAGGGTCCAAAAGGTTGTGCTAGAACATCTAGTACTTTTACAAGAACTATCGTCGCAGAAAGAAATAAGTTTAAAAATAAATATAATTTGATTAACATTGTTTCCTATTGGCAAAGTTCTAATGTGTAACAGTTAGGCTATAAAATTTATAATAATAATCTTATACTTATCAAGCTTTACATCTTTTACATGTAAACATTATAATATAATCAGTGTTGGCAACAATAGAAAAATAAAACAATTTAAAGTTTTTTTCTATTTTATATAACTTTTATTAAAAAGCTTTTTTTTTAAATTGTTTTAATATATCCGTTGCTAATTAAAAGACTAAATATAATATATATTTATTGTCACAGCTGGTGCTGAAAACGGCTGATGCTGAAATTTGGAGTCTCGATTTGAAAATCTTAGCAGAAACTTGAATTTTTGCTAAATATAATTATCATATAATAATTATATAACTATTATATAGTTACAATATAACTAAAATTATAATATAATTAATATGTGTTAACTATATATTAAAAATATTATTATTATATTTTAAAAATATTTTTATAATTCTGTTAAGTCACTATTAACATGATTAATATTATATATTTATAATATAATTTTAATACGATTTTAATCTAATATTATATTAAAAATATCTTTTAATAATCTAATAATAATCTAATAAAATAATATTTTAATAATATTATAACAATTTGTTTAAAATAATTAATAATATTTTTAATATATATCTTAATAATTTTTTTTATATATATTAAATATATGTTTAATAGATGATTTTAAAATATTTAATTGATATTTGTGTTATTGCAAAAAGATGATTAACAGATATAGTTAGAAACAAAATTTAATTTTATTATATATTAAATATATTATTAACAGATAATTTAACAGATATTTACTTTATTACCAAATAAAAAAAAATATACTTTAAAATTTTTGACAATAAAACCATACAAACAATTCTCTATCTCTTCCCCGATACTTATATCCATGACAGCATTTTTCTCTAGCAATATTTCTCTGACAACATTTTACCAACATTTTTATTTTTCCAACACTTATATTTTCCTGACAGTCACTTCTCCAACAATCCCTTTGCCAACATTTTCATTTCCTTGACAATCACTTTCTGATACTTTCATTTCCCTGACACTTATATTGCCCTACAGTTATATTTCTCGACACTTTTATTTCTCTGACATTTGTATTTCCCAATATTTTTCCCGGCAAGTTATTTGCATCTTCAAAGTTCCAAACGGATCTTTTGCAGAATAGGTGACATCTTTGGCAAATTTTCCAGAAACACCCAAAAATGCAAAAATTGCCTGCAACATATTCGAAATTTTGTAAATTACATAAATCTGAGTTCAAATTACATTTAGCCCTTAGAACATACTAGTCCTAAAACAGTCTGAAACTTTTCCAAGATTAATACAATTTAAAACTAATTTAACTTTTATATTACAGCTATTTCATAATTCCTGATTAAATTATTAATTTCGAAATGATCAATATATTAATTACATAAATTACAATTTATATATATAAAGGTTGTGATTATCAAATGATAGACTTTAAGAGAAACACTACAAAACCATATGACTAGTGATGGGACTTTTTAATTAATAATTACGAATTTTTAACGATTAAAAATTAAAATTAAATTATTAAATTAATAATAATATTTAATGAATTAATAATTAAAATATCCAAGATGTATAGAACGTCTTCATCGAAATGATATACAATAGCAATTAAATTAAATCCTGCATATTTTTTACAATAACACATTAAAAGCCATGCTTCATATATTTTAAGGGATAATAACATATATATATCGAACATCTGGTTGGGTAAAAAAAACTATTGTTATATTTTAATTAAACGTTATGCAAAATAAATAAATGATTAATTATACAACGATAACTTTGCCATTACTGAGCAGTTAATTTCCCAGATGTTATCATTTTACTAGCATAACAACTATCTCTAGTGATAACAGGCTATTTGAAAATTTTTGAACCGATAAATTTTATCATCTTATAAGGTGAGTATAATAACGATAATAATTAAAAGTTCATTGAAAATGACAGTATTACTAATAAATCGGCTAACTAATTTTGAGTGTTAAATCACCCTAGCTAGTTATTAGCCAATATTACTTTATACACAAAGAGATAAAGACAGTAATATGATAGGGCATAAAACAAAAGAAATCAACGGGAAGAATAAAATAAAAGTTTTTTTAAATAATGACAAAACTTTTAAATAAATTAAATTTAATTTGTTGATTTAATTAAACAATTAGCTTTTACGCTCTTAATTACTTTATTCTCTATTGTATTTAAGTAACCTGTTCGCCAATAAAAAAAATTTTAAATTTATATATCATAATTCTATCTAAAATTAAAAATGACATCAAATCCTTTAAAATCTAAAAAATCCAAACGTAGCAGAAAACAAGGTCCTATTTGGAGTCATTTTGAATGAGGAAATTTACTCAGTTTAACTCATTATGAAGCCAAATGTATTTATTGTCACGAATTATTATATGGAATTCCTGAGCAAATGTTAAGACATTTAAATGAAACTTGTGAAAAAATTGAAGAAGAAATTCGGGATACCTTAAGTAATATTAAAATAACTCGTCATCCAAAGAAGCGTCAAAATGCTAATTCACTAAAACAAAGTAAAAATAAAAGTATTCAAATTAATACAAGTTCAAGTGAAGAAGATAATGATATTAATCAATCTAGTACAAATACTTCAAAATATAGAGTAGAAAATAACAATTTAATTCATTGTCAATTACTACGAGCTCTTATTTCAGCAAATGTTTTATTTTCCTTTGTAGAAAATGAAGAAGTTCGAAAATTATTTAAAATGGTGCAACCTTTATATACATTGCCATCTCGAAGGTGGATTAGTACTGAGATTTTGGATAAAGTACACGATGAAGTAGAAACTGAAGTTCAAAAGTTTGTTGACGATTCTAAATTTTTAACATTATCAGGAGATGGGTGGACCAACGTTACTAAGCATAGCTCTAATATGGTAAAAGCACGAAAAATGGTTAATGAAGATCCTGAATTACAACGAAAAATTATTACGATACCTTGTATGGCTCATCAAACTAACTTGTTAGTAAAAAAAATCATAAAATCTAAGCAGTTTGAGCCTATAATCACTATGATGCTTTCAGTTATTAATCACTTTCGTAATTCAAATCATGCCTTAGCTAAACTAAGAGAATTAGAAAAAAATGAACATTTATCTCTTCAGTATCCTTGTATAACTAGGTGGACAACATTTTCTAAAGCGGCGGAGGCACTTTTATTAACTCGAAATAGTATGTGAGTTATAACTATCACAGATTCAGACGTTTTAACTATTAAAGGAAATGAAAGTCATAAAATAATTAACATAATTGAAAATGTGGAGTTTTGGACAAAACTTGACGCATTTCTTAATATACTAAAACCATATGATTATGTCATAAAAATTCTAGAATCTGACAAAGTAACACTTGGTCATATTTCAGCAACTTGGGTATGGCTCAGAAAAATTAACGACGAATTACCTGCAGATAATTTTTTAGACTTTAAATCTTTAATGCTAAGTGAAATTGATAATAGATGGGCAAAAATTTATGATTCAACTTTTTTAATTACGTGGTTTCTTCATCCATACTATCGTGGCAAAGGAATAAGAGAAGAAAAATTTCTTCAAATACAAGAAGATGCATATAGCTTATTCTGTTTATTATATCCAGAAAAAGATCATGACACTTTTGTAGATGAATGGCTCATGTATCAAAATTATGAAAATATTTTTGATAAAAACTCATCTCTAAATCGTTCTAGTATCACCAAATTACCTTTAAGATATTGGCGAACTATATTAGTTCATGTTCCAAATTTAGCTGAGTTTGCTTGTAGGCTTTTCTCTATACCGCCAAATTCAGCAACATCTGAAAGAGTATGGTCATTAATGGGAAATATTCATACAGAACGACGCAATCGTTTATCAGTTCCTAAAACAGCTAAAATGACAAAAATTGCGTGGTACTTAAAGGGTAAATTGGAAAAAAACAAACATCTAATATCAACTAATACTAATATGCTAGATACAGATAGTGAATTAGATAATAGTAATATTGAAGTAGATGAAATAATGAGTAATTTAGAACAAGTTTCTTCGCAAATAATTGATGACATAGAAAACTTAGATCCAAGTAATCGTAATAACTTACCAGTTATCTCTCTATTTGAATTTTTTAATCCTCAATTAATTCAACAACTGTTGGTTCATGAAATGTAATCTAATATCATTTATTTTATATAGTTTAATATTAGAATATTGCATAAAGGAATCTTTCCTATTAAATATTTTAGAAATCGAATTTAAGGAATTCAATTATTTCATGAGTTTAATATGTTCGCAAATTAGCAACCTGAAAATGACTGCGAAACTTTGGACCTTTGAAACGTTATAGGTATGTATTATAAATTTAAGGTTATAAAGCTGTTTTTATGATAAGTACGCAATATACTTATAACGGCAGGTTTTAACGTCAAACATTTCAAATTTCAAATTTATAAAAATTACTTTAAATACTTCTGCGCTTTAATAGTTTGAGTACCTAAAAACTATTATTGATCTGCATATTTGGATAAAATTATTATTGTTATTATGCATATTTTATGATTAATTACTGATTACATCTTTCTATCGATATTTTCTATACATCTTGGATATTTTAATTATTAAATCGTTAAAAATTATTTTTAATTTTTAATTTTGAAATTAAAAATTAAAAATTAAAAAGTCCCATCACTACATATGACGTCTCTTCAGCATTACTTGCATATGTGTAAATGCTAGTTCCCAATTTTGTAGTACCTTTGAACCCTTCTCTTAATAAAAAGAATTCTCACAAATTGTTCCTCTTAATAAATTGCCTGTCTAAATGCCCATTTATCATGAATCTATAGATGCTCACTAACACCAGATCAGCCAAAAAATAATTCGGCAGATTTTTTATCCGGTATTTTAGAAATTATGGAAAACAGCTATAATAAGAATAGTTGCGCATAGGGCTGTGAAAAAGCTTGTCGGACCTGGTCCTTGAGTCGACTAAACAGGAACTTTTTAGGACCGACTCGGATCGACTTCAGACAAAGTCCGACTGCATATCTTTTGTTCTGAGAATTGTTCATTTTGATTGGCTAATTTACGTTTCAGACAAAGTCCGACTGCATATCTTTTGTTCTGAGAATTGTTCATTTTGATTGGTTAATTTACGTTGAGTCAAGTTTGCAGTATTCTAATTATGTATGAATCAAGGATTGACTCAAGGATCGAGTCCTGATCAAAGTCCCTGTTTGAGGAGTCCGGACAGATAGGATAGGACTTTTAACAGCCCTAGTTGCGCAGCATTTAATGTAACTATCATGACATAAAGTTACTATCAAAAGTCACTATCGAGATGGAAGTCGTTATCGAGACGAAAGTTGCTATCTGAACGAAAATCGCTATTGGGATAAAAGTCATTATCAGGACGAAAGTCGCTGTCAGATTATATAAAGCTATGCATGTACATATTGGTCTGCTTTAAAAGACATACTATCAGTAATAGGAGTGTAAATCAATTGTCGTATTTCTTAACCAAGAATTCAATATAAATACAATTTTTGCTTACCATCTCGATATTTACTAAAATCATTGTTCGCAATCACCAACTGGGCGATAATTAGACGATTGTAATGTTTGCATAATATACGACATTTGCAAATAACAACAAATTGTGAGCCCTATATACTACTAGATCATAAACGCATCCACTATTAAATTATAAACCCACACACCATTAAAAAGTTATTACTCTTTGCAAAATCTTGTGACCCAATCATTTTTATATCATGACACAAATAAGAAATCATTTGTGATTACTGATTTCTAGGGTAATAGCAATAGTTTATATAATATATATACTATCACTATCACTATCATCATAGATTTCTTATAAGTTGTGCA